ATCTTATTCCGAAGAAAGCCTGAGGGCACTGTTCCTAGCTGCTCTTGCACATGATCTTTTGACTCCTCTTCTTTCTTTAACTAATGCTTTAGGGACAACCTATTTCATTGCTTTCTCACCCTTGAGTACAGAGCTCTTTCCTTTCGGATCTTGCTTTCACCCCCTAATATTGAAGACTCTAATGAGTAGTCTACTTTGCTTGAAGTGCCTGTTTTTAGCTTTAGGCTAAAAAGTGGACGGAATCGCTTTCCAATTGACGAGGAGGTATTCTGTCATTAGCTAGCCTTCGGAGTACCTTTGTTTTGTCTAGCCGATGACGGAAAGAGATCAAAGCTCTCTCTTCTGACGATGGTTGGAGTTGACTTCAGTTAAAGTCATTTTTAAGGATAAATAATCAATTGGAAGACCTTCGCTTGATGAAGCCTATCGGATAAGACAAAAGGAGGATGATCGTCTGATTGTACCTGATCCTTCCTTATCTGGCTATTTGAAATCTGACTCTCTTGAAACGGACCAGCTAACCACTCGCTCTCCCAGTCGAGCCAACCTTTCGCTTTCCTCGCTTAAGTGTCAAATGGTTCTGCCGAGTTCATTTAATCAATTGATCCTTGGTTTTCGTGTGTAGGATGACTCCCCTCTGGTGAAGTGAAGGGATCATTTTCAAAAGCCGAGGGCCAAATGCCAGTCAAAGAAAACTGACTAGCCAAAAGGCCGGAATAAGCGAAAAAAAAAGGGGGGAAGTCATTGGATTGTTCGCTTTGAGAGGATGACCTTTTTCTCCTTATGTGGTACTCGCTTCATATAAACCTATACTTCGCTTACTTTTTTTTTGCTGTCTTTCACTCTCTTATCAACCTTTTTCTTTGGCGAAGGGAGAAAGGCTGGTCTAGGTTCAACCACTCTCACTTACTAGGAAGAAGGACGGAGACAATCTAAGACGGAAGACATTGTAGTTTGATTTGCTTTCTTAAGCTGATCCACTGACCCGAGTGCTTGCCTAAGCCCTTTGCATCTGTTTCCAGCTTGATATGGACCGGGGCCTGAGGTTGTCATACCACTCGTAGGCAGGACCGTCGAGGGAAAGGGGAAATTGTCTCAATAGCAAAGACCCATTTGTGGCAGTGTCCCGGCAAGCGGTAATGAAATGAGATAAGTGTCTTTTAGGGCAACCTCCCCCATCAAACATAGAAAATGGTGGGATTTGGTACCCTGGTGGATAAGGAACCGTGTCATGATATGAAGGAGATGGACTGCGATAAGGCTGGATTGCTCCTGCATTCTTTGGGTTTATTAAACTGAGTTTTTCATCCAATTTTTCCTTAGTGACAAACTATGCGGAAGTAGATGGACCTGACTGAGCAGGTGGAAGTGCTGTTGCTTGTGCAGCTGGAACATAAGGCTGAAAAGCGGGAGGTGCAGAAGTTGAAGGAATTGAGGCAGCTATCAGTGCTTCCAGAGCAGCCAACTCAGCTCTTTTTTATGCCAAAATTTCTTCAGATGTAGGAAGCCGCCACTTTTAGTTATATCAGCTGCATTTAATTGGGTTTTGGGGGCTGCAATCCTTACTGTACAAGGTCCCTTTGTGCTATAATCTCATTTTTTCGGGCCAAGGCTGCCCTAATTTCCGCCAGTTGTTCTTCCACTGTCTGTACGACGGAAGGGACTGGAGATGAATCGGTCGTAGTCATTGCAGGTAATAACACTATCCTACGTTGTGAAGGGAATGAGCTAGCTGAAGCTTCTGACGATTCTGACTGAGACCTCGGTGAGGAGACTGAGTCCTCTTCTGACGGAGCCGGACTCCGACTCTTTTGGGGATAATTTGTGATATGGATCAATCGAGGCTCCTAGCCTGGAATTCTTGAAGGATGCAGGATCACTTCCTTCCTTGCTGGGGTGGATTTTGGTTTCAAGATTTTTCTTTGCGGTGGCAAAGGCATTTGAGCCGGGGCTTGCCCCTGGGAACGAGTAACCCGCGAAGGAAAATCCCCTAAGTATATCTGGGACTTGGGCTGATGAAATTGGATCATGGGAAGATTGTGTAGATAAGGGAGAAGGTTCGTCTTCTTGCTCCCCCTGGGATTAGTGATAGAAGTGAAATAAGAGATGATTATATTCGCTCCATGCCTACGCCTTCTAGGGCGATATTTGTTTGGAGACCTTCTGGGAGTCTTCTCGTCGTCGGACCCTCTTTTTCTTTTGGAACTGCCCGAGCTAGATGACAAAGCTGAGCTGGAAGGTACTTTTTTGATCCTATCGAAGTACCTCGCAATCTTTTCTTCTGTTGCTGGGAAAGTCTTCCTCGGAATGTAAGTCAAAGCCTTTCAGGAGTTGTCTTCTCCCCAATCTGACTCTGGAGGCGCGGCCCCCTGGTTATTACATTGTGGCCTTGACGGCAGATAGATATTATCTGAAGAGTGAGTGCTGGCCTTTTCATATTGAATTACAACCATTTGCCCTCTTTCTTGGGAAGAGAGGATAACACCCCGGGAAACAAGCCTGAGCACTGATGCAAGCTGTCTATCATTAGATTGTTCTTTTGGTTTTCTAAGGGCCGGAGCCCCATTAAAGAAGTGAGCAAGAAGCCAATGTTGTAATTCTTGAGGATGATTCTTTGAAGAAAGAGTTCCATAAGCAAGTGCATGAGACTCTTTGACTTTCAAGCTCCGAAGAAGAGTGAAACTGACCCCACTTTTATTGACCAGTAAGTGATAGCTGTCAGGTTCGCAGAATGACCGATGGAACCAACTGAATACGCTCTCGTGACATGATCGAAGTTCGATCCACCACTTTGGGGAAAGAGATGAGACGGTCTACCCGCCTTTACACATACGAGGAATCACTCGCTGACGGACAAGAGGTCGACAACGTGAGCTTTATTTCCGACAAGGGTGTGGGCCAAGGTGGCATGCGTTACCTATACAGCAACGACTTCACACGGGGATAATATCGGATTCTTAAGGATAGGGAGGAAGGGCAGAGAGCACTACTTCCTTGTTATACCGTTCGTGCCCAATACCCATTGGTCACTTCACTCACTTCAGAGTCAATTAACAAAGTCTCAGTGCAGGAGGTGCAGGAAAGGGTAGTAAATGGCAGATGTCGCCTCCTCAGAGAAGAAAAAAAGGAAGGGATATGCACCTAGCACCGACCAAATCTGGAAATTTGTTAAATCGCGGTCCCCAAATCGGCCTTTGTCTATGCCTAAATTCCTTTTCTTTAAACAGACGAGACAGACAAAAACTATATAGAAATAGAATAAGATATTCAAGAAATCCATCGAAATCACTGGCTTCAGAGTCAATGTTGGCTTACTGAATACTAACTCGAGAACTTCATGTCGTCATAAGAGTCTCAAAATATACCCCACAACGGGAGGCTTTGCTTCGGTCACGATACAAGTGAAAAAATAAAAATGTTCCTAAGCTTATGAATGTGAAGCTGCTTCTTCAGAAATATTATGACGTGTGCCGCTGTGATCGTGGTGTAGGAGGTTTTTATCCCACTTTGTGAAAGAATCGATAGCTACTAAGATGTATTCATGTCCAATTGGCTGCCTTCGGGTTAACCTTCCTATAATATCTAGGCAATATACTGCAAAGGGCCATGGTGTGGTTTGGTTATGAAGCTTCGTCGGCAACGCGTAGATCAAATTCGCATGCACTTGGCACTTGTGGCATCTCTGAAGAAAATGGATGCAATCCCTCTCCATCGTACAAGAGTAATATCCTAGGCGAAGTCTTTTTTTGGCAAGCCTGTGCCCATTCATGTGTGGACCGCAGACTCCTTCATGCACCTGGATTATCATCTCTTTGGCCTCCCTTTCATCTAGACATTTCAACAGAATGTTGTTGGAAGACCTTATTATACAACCTATCCCCACAGATTACGGACTACATGGCTAGTCTCTGAATGGTCTGCCGATCTCTCGGTCTAGCGTCGGGAGTGGTTGCTCTCGTACCTATGGTTACAGACTACAGCGGCAGATTCAAGCGCATGAGTTCAGAGAGATCAGTTGAACGTCTGCAGAATGAGAAAGTAGATCGTGATCTGAATATGAAGGAAGTGGATTCCAGGGACAGCTGCTTCTATAAACACAAGAAACGGTCTTGTGGACTTAAAATAGAAGTTTTTTTCAGTCTCTATTTGGCAAAGGAAAACGGGGCCGAACTTAGAAGTCGGCAAGAAAGACTTTGAGAAATGAGTAGGAACTTGAATTTCCCTGTCGATGAGCGATGAAACCACATCAGTGTGCGATCATCACTTTACGAGTTTCTGCTTTCTCTTCTTTTTTCTTTAAGGCCTCTCTTAAGGCTTTGAACGCGACTTTCTCTATCCTCATTAGGTTAGGTAGGATAGTACTTCCTTTAATAAGTGTAGAAAGTATGCTCTCTTTTCCTCCTTAGTAGCTAACTGAGAGTTCATCTTGCTCCTGTATTTTCCTCTTGTTTCGTCTACTAGTCCTACTTCTCTCTCTGTTGAGTATCTTTGAAATGCTGCTGCCTTACTCTTCCTTCTCCCTCCTAACACCCCTGGTATAAGTTCTAGGAAAAGAGAGTCCATCTCCTTCGGACCCTGATCCCTTCTCTAAGATGGGGAAGCTTCCTAGAGAGTGAAGCCTTTGCCCCTAGCTAGATATAGTACTATCCTCTTTCGTCTGATTGTCCTCTTCCTGTTAAGAGAATCCTCCTACTGGTATGTTTATATCAATCTCGAATGCCTTATAACGAGTTATATCTTCCGGGTCTTGTTTTGTCTTAATAGAATCCCTATGAGTGAGTCATCCTTTCTTCTAATGCTTCCGAGTGGTTAGTCCTTACTCTATCTCTTTTAGTGGTATAAGGAGGAGTTTGATTCATAGAGCTGGATGTAGCTACTTTAGGTTTCTATCAAGCTAGGCCAGCTAAGAATGTCTTTGATGGTAGCTTTCTTCTTACTGGTAGTTTTAGATCAAGATAGAACATATAATAAGAAAGAAGATCTAGCAATCTGGTANAAGGATAGTTTCCAATAAAGGGTGGGTCTTGTGTAAACATTGCAACAAAAATTTGTTGTCCCCAATAGTGCACAAGTACCCAAAACCCTAGAAGTTTCCGATCTAAAGGTGATACAGAAGCAGGGTCGGCTCAGAGGGTAAGCCAGTTAAGCCTCCATCTAGGGCCCTCAAAAGAGGGGCCCCTTTTTTATTTGTAGTCTTTATCAAGTAGTTTTATTTGGTCCAATAAAATTCAGGATTAATAGAAGATTTGAATACAAACAAAGAATAAAAGTTTATATACAATGTCTATTAATCAGCTACTATTGTTTTATTTTATTTTTAACAATATTCTAAAGAAATTGTAATGGGTTAATCATATTATCAACTAAAAAATGTATATTAACAAAATTTGAATATAGAAACTTAATTATTAATTTTGCATAACAAAAAAGCTAGAAAAATAATTTGTAATGAAAATTTAATCATATATTTTATATATTTATTATTAATTTTAAAGGGCTTCATTTATAATTTTCGTTTAGGGTCTCAATTTTCATTAGATCGGCCCTGTGCAGAAGGGCTGAATAGTTTCTCTCAAGTATCATTCTTAAATTATCCTANTATATTTATTATTAATTTTAAAGGGCTTCATTTATAATTTTCGTTTGGGGTCTCAATTTTCATTAGATCGGCCCTGTGCAGAAGGGCTGAATAGTTTCTCTCAAGTATCATTCTTAAATTATCCTAGTTATCATCTTAGCACATCGATTTTGAAGAAATCTTAAGTGAATAGCATATGATCATGAATTGGACCACCCCCACCGAAAGGGAATTTATCTGCTTTCGATGATTGAAGTTTNGTCTTAGCGCATCGATTTTGAAGAAATCTTAAGTGAATAGCATATGATCATGAATTGGCCCACCCCCACCGAAAGGGAATTTATCTGCTTTCGATGATTGAAGTTTGCGATTCTCGTACTACTATAGGGGTAAAGGCTCCATGGACATAGGATTTCATTGTTACAACACTAGGTTCTTGTTGAACTAACCTGTGTGATTCTTTCTTCAACATTTCTTCCCCCAATCCTTTGGAGAAGATGCTAAAACATGTGATTCGGAAATGAGAGAGACCCTACTTTCCAAGATGTGGTTTCCATTGCAACTTATAGCGTCGTGCATGTTGACATAGGATAACAATGAAAATTTGGAAAAAATTAAGTAAATGCATAGATGTGCTCGTTAATCGAGCCAAACTGATCAAATTGATCAAATTTTGAACAAACAATAATTAGAAACAGATCAGTCAAGATAGAATAATCAGTAATGCTACACTGATCAAATTTTGATACTAAATTTAGAACGCAAATGACATAACACTAAATAAATAAGCTCAAATCAGCTACCATGTCATTTGAGCTTCAAATTTATTTCCAAAATTTGATCAGTGTAACATTACTCTAGAATAATACGATAGTACATGAAATGAAGAGCTCCATATGGATAAACAATAATGCCACAGAACTTAAATGAAACCGACAAAATTATAATCTAAATGCATATCATCTCTTAGATAAGTGGGTTCCATTAATTTTTTTAGTGAGACTCACTCATTCCTACACTCATCCATGGGATAATATATATTTGAGTTTTAAGTTTTAAATTTCTTTGGGATTGTGTAGCATTTTCCACATATAAATGTGGACAGTATTATGGTAGCCAACAAAATTTCGACACCATACCAATATTTATTATTTTAAAAGTAAAGTTATAGTTCATTCATGATCAGTTTTAAAATATTGTGATCGATCATAAATAACCCAAATTAATTATAAACTTACCTGACATTTAAAAGATATAACTTGAGTTTAAATTTTACAGTTGATTATAATATTTTGTGATCGATTATTTTATTTAATTATAAGTATGATCCTTTTCTCTCTTGGCTAAACCTATTATCCATATGCCCCCCTATTTTCTTTTTTGACAAAATCAACCAAGTCTAAGCGGTCACTACTCCCATAAACTTCAAAAATCGCTTGATCATCATACTAACAAATTTTAGGGGAAAAAATTTCTCTAATCCTGCAACAATTGATAAGGTACCTGATCCTATCTGACATTTTTTCATACAATATTAATTAAATTGATTTTTATTAAGTAAAGTATTTTTATTTTTAACAAAAAGAAACTACAACAAAACTAGAAACATTACTAAATTTGGGTGCACAATGCAAATCCTATAGCTGCTGCCAACAAACCTAGTCTAAAAGGAAAAACAAAAAACTTCCTAAACTCTGCCAAGGGAAATAGAGTGTTCTCTTTTTAAAATCTAGAGAGAGAAGCTCTCCGCTCTTCCTAAAATATCTCAGTTAGTTAAACGAGTTTGTCATAGCAAAATTAAGATATTTGTATTTGGCACTAATCCAATTTCATTATTATTCATGATAATAAAGCGTATCAATTTCAGAATCAGCTCTAATCAATTCTAATCTCGATGTATCGTGTCAACGATTTTGTTAGCGTTATGCACAACTACGGTCTCATCCATTAATGATATTACGAACACATATCAGGAAGCGAAATTTGGGTATAGTAAGTCCTAATTTTGGGTAGTGTCCCAATGAATTTTAAATCATGCCACTTTGTTTTACACTTGCAATGCGGAGGCCATGTTGTAAAAAATAATTATAGATTTTGAGCATATATTTATAATTGGAATTAATAAAAATTGCTACTAAATTTTTGGTCAAATCAACAATTATTAGAATTATGATGTGAGCAATATAATTATGAGTATTGTAATCTAAAATTTGAAATAAAGCATGTAAACAATAGTTAGATCATATAACATGCAATTTAAATAAATAAATACGTAAAATATATAAACATGCAATCTATATAAACTAAATAAATTAATTTAGAATGAGTTGAC